TTCAAAGGTTTTACACTATTCTGTTCTTTAAATCAGTCCTCTTTTTCATTAAAGATCCATTTTTCCCCTGTAAGATTATACTCAGCCTTGCTGAATAAGTTATACTTGGCTATAAACTATTATGCTTTACCTTCTGGAATAATGTATTCCAAGTTCTCTGCTCCTTTGTAGTGGTGGCTGCTAGATCCTGTGTAATACTGACTCTGACTCCTCAATATATGAATTCTTTCTTTCTGTCTACTTGCAGTATTTTTTCTTTGGCCTAGAAGCTCTGGATTTTTGGCTTTGATATTTTTTGAAGTTTCCATTTTGGGATTTCTTTCGGGAGGTGATCGACGTATTCTTTCTATTTCTACTCTGTCATCTGGTTCTAAGAGATTTGGGTAGTTGTGTTTTATGATTTCTTGAAATATGATATCTACACTTTTTGTTATTGTTGTTCATGGCTTTCAAGTAGTCTAATAATTCTTAATTTTTTCTCCTCAGTCTGTTTTCCTGATCATTTGTTTTTTCTATGAGATATCTTATATTTTCTTTCATTTTTTCAGCCTTTTTTACTTTAATATTTCTTATTATCTCATGGAGTCATTGGCTTATATTTGGATCATTCTAATTTTCAGGAAGTTTTTTGGTTGTTTTTTTTTTTTAGGCAATTGGGGTTAAGTGACTTGCCCAGGGCCACACAGCTAGTAAGTGTCAAGTGTTTGGTCTGAGGCCAGATTTGAACTCAGGTCCTCCTGACTTCAGGGCCGGTGGTCTATCCACTGCACCACCTCGCTGCCCATGGAAGTTTATTGATTGGGCAAGGTTTTATACCTCTTATGCCAAACTATGAATTCCCTTTCCATTTTGTTTTTCCACATCTCTCGTTTCTTTTCTGATTTCCCTCTAGTGCTCTCATTTCATTTATAAAAAAAAAAAACAACATCTTTTTAACTTCTAAACTCTGGTTTTGTCTCTCCCAGGAATTCTGTTTGACTCGGTGCCCACGCTGTTTGTTTGTTTTTTTTCCTGAGGCTTTGCATATAGATATTTTAGAGTTGTTGTCTACTTCTGAGAGGGTGTTGAATGTCTCTGTCACATAGCAGCTTTTTATAGCAGGATTCTTTTTTTGTCTGTTTGTTTGGTCATTCTTCCAGCCTGCATTTTGTTTTCAGACTTTTTGCTAAAGTCAGGCTTTGTGCATTGACCCGCTGGTCCTGCTGCCACTTTCTAGGGGCATTGAGTGTTGAATTATTCCAGACTTAAAGGAATAGTTTGGGCTAGGGATCTGCAAATTTTCAGGGCTCCCAAAGTGGTCTGGTCTGGGGCAAAATCTGATTGTTGTCCCTCCTTGTCTGAGGACTACAAATTCCTGATCCAGATATGAGCGCAAGTAACAGAAGAATGCTGCTTGGCGCATTCATGCTCAGCCAGCTGGGAAACTCTCCTGGTTCTGAGACAGAATGCAGGCTCCCTTTTGGTCTGCGATTCTTGCCTTCATCATTCCTCTGCAGGCTTCAGATCAGGCTAGAAGCCGGAACTGAGACTCTGCTCTGCTCCTGGGGTCAGAGTCATATTGCTGCTGTTTGCTTTTGAATTTGCTTCTCTTACCCCAGGAAAACAAACCATCCCTGGGTATAGTTTCCCATCTGTGGTGATGTGTGACCCACGTGGAACTAGGTAGTGAATTATAAAGCTCCCAGTTGACAGTTGCTCCTACACCCTGGAGAGCCCCAGTCAGGGTCTAGGACTCTTCTTGCCCTGGTACACAGCTTCTCCCTGGGAACCAGAGTGCTCCACAGTGATGCTTCTGGCCAGATCCCATCCCTGGTGGCCACAGACTTCTCTGTCTGTCTCTCTGTTCTGATCTGAACTGGAGAAGTGACTCACTGTTGACTTTTTCTCAGATTTCTCCTTCAGAATTCAGCCTGGTGCATTTTCTAGATCTATTTGGTGGAGATTGGGGGGGTTTTGGGGGAAGGGCCCTCATTGTGCTGTTCTACCATTTTGGCTCGACCTTCATGCTATCCCTTTCCATCTGTTCTTCACAAGGAAGACTGGACCCATTTTTGGCAAGTCTCACCTCTCTTCCTGACAAATCCAGCACTAACCAACATTCCCCTTTCATCCTAGTAAATTAAGTGCCAGCTCAGGCACCTGGTTGAGGCCCTCCTTCCCCTAGTCACTCCATTAAGTAGGCTTACCGCCCACAACTTCACCCCCCCCACACACTTGCTAGACCTTGAGGACTTGGAGTGATGAGCCAGCCTGTGCTTAGCAGCCTTTAGATGAGAAACCAGGCTGAGTGAGATACTTGACTGGAGTGTCATCAGCGACTGCTGAGCAGCTCACGTGGAGATTTCTTTCAGATTGGTCTCTGATTGGTTTGTAAACATGGTGAAGTGTCTACAGTTTTCTTGCCGTCTGAGACCTCCTTCTTTTTATGCCAATTCCTCGTTTACCAAAATGCTAAGGTGCCAACTAGCTAAATAAGATCCCCTTCCTTTTTCACTTTAATGCAGCCCATTCTAATGGTAACAGTGATACACTTCCTTTTTTGGAGCAGTTTAGTGTATAGAAACACAGACTGTTAGACTTGATTAGAACCTTAAAATGTAGAAAGTCAGAACTGGAAAGGTACCTTAGGACATAGAACATGTAATGTCAGAATGAGAAGGGATGACCTCAAGATGTAGAACACATTAGTAGGTCACCCTGCCCAACCCTTTCATTTTGCAGAAGAATGAAACTGAGGCTCAAGTACTCAAAGCAATTGGCCCAGGGTCAAAAAGCAAGTTTACAACCATAAATATATGTGCGTGTAGCACCTTCTATGGGCAAGACCCTGTGCTTGCTACTCCAGGGAAGTGTGATGAGTCAGTGCTCTCAGGGGATACTCTCTAGCAGGGGAAGAACAACATGTTCACTAGTAACAATAAATCAAGGCAAAATATGAACTAATTACAGGGGGTTAGAAAGGAGAGAGAGAGAGAGAGAGAGAGAGAGAGAGAGAGAGAGAGAGAGAGAGAGAGAGAGAGAGAGAGAGAGAGAGAGAGAGAGAGAACTTCCAGCTTGGAAGATCAAGGAAGTCTTCCTGGAGGAAGTGACATTGGAGTTGGGTACTGGAGAATGAGCAGGCATCCGATTAGGGGAGGGAGGAGTGCAGGACATTCCACACAAAGGGAGAAGCACATAAACAGGAAACCACAGGGTGTATGGAGGGAATAGGACCAGGTTTTCTACCCAGAACTGTCACTGATTCTTCTAGGTTCTTGATTACATGTCCTTGTGCTTCATCCCACCTCTTTTCCTTCAGGCCACTGAACTATTGGATTTCTTTGAGGTATAGATTGCAGCAAGAGTAAGATGGAGTAGAGAAAAGAATACCAAGCTATGAAAACATCTCATCCCTGTTGGGACTGAAGAGTGTCGTCTTTCTAGAATGGAGCCAAAATATAGAAATAAAGGCAAAGAATCAGAATTTAGAAACTGAAAGGCTCCTCAGAGACCATGTGGTCCAATTCTCTCCTCTTACAGATGAAGAAAGTTCTATGACTCGCTCGAGATCACACAGATCTTATGGAGCAGGGCTGGCATTCACACCCAACCCTGACCAGCTTTTGGGCCAGGACTCTTCTTTCTATGCTACACTGCCTCAGCAGAACCCCAGAATAACTTGGGGGGCGCATCATTCTACCCTAAAGGTGAAGGTGTGAAACTCCATTTAGCCTAGAACTATATGGACTAAATACGGTAGCGGACTTGATGAGAAGCAGTGACACCTCACTCCCCCACGCAGCCCAGAAACATTTTCAGGCTTTTGCCTCCCTTCTTTTTGTCTGGGCACATGGGTTCTTTTCCAGAGATTCTCAGGGGTTGATTCACTGCAGAAATCTAGGATCATACAATGTCAGTGTGGAATACAGAGCAAAGACTGTCAGACTTGGAAGGGACCTTAGAACATAAGACCAGATTAAAGACTGTCAGAACCGGAGGCTGTCTTAGAACACAGACTCTTAGAGCTGGAGGGGCCCTGAGAAGGGAAGTTACTATTCCTGTGTTTATTTAAAAGCTACTCTTCCCTAAGTGGGGAAAGCATTTGTGAAGCTTCAGTAGCCTGAGGGTGTCAGGCCTTTCTAGAGTTCACTCTGTATTTTAGGTAAGAACTAGAGGAAAAAGAAGAATCCCAAGAGCTCACGGTCACATAGCTAATGCTCTCCAGAAGCAAAGCACCTTGTCTGTATCAGCTCATCAGGTCCTCGCAACATGGAAAGATCAGCAGGCTTGGAGTCGGAAAAGTTGAGTTTGAATTCTGGCTCTGCCTCTTACTGCGCGTGTGACCTTGGGCCCCTGAGGACCACTCCCTTCCTTGGTGAGATGAGGGCGTTAGACCAGATGACCCCTGAGTGACTTCTCACTCTGACGTTCTGTGTTCTCGATAGCGTGATACGGTAGGAAGAGTAGAGACCTTTCAGTAAGGAGCTCTGGCTTTTGCTCCTGGTTCCACTGCTTTCTTAGCTACGTAATGATGGACGACGAGTCTTCTCCGTAAAGATGGAATGATGATAAATGCGCGGCCTCTCATACAGGATGGGAGAGAGATCGTTTGCTCTGAGACCCCAGACAGCTTGGACCCTTTGGTCTGATGGTAGACTGGACGGACTGCCCCCCAATCCAGCGCCTCTGATCCTGCCTTTCACAGGGCTGTTTTGCAGCCTTGCCCCAAGTGCCCCTTCCTTAGCACCAAAGCTGCCTCCAGTGACCAGTAAGCAGCAGGTGCAATGGAACCAGTTATTTATTTCCTCTGAAGCATAGTTTCCTCATCTGTAAAAGGAGAAGGTCGGCCTAGGTGACCTCTGACCTAGATGAGGTCCCTTTCAGCTCTAGATCTGTGATGGTGATGAGCCTTTGCCCAAGGCTAGGAGGATAATGTGTTCCTCAGCCCCTGCCTAAAGATCCTCACGCCCCCTGACCTTGTTTCTTTGTGTTTGCTCTTTTCCACCTCTACCCACGTGCAGGTGTCCAAAGCCTCCTCGGAGCTCATGAGTTACTGTGAACAGCACGCCCGGAATGACCCCTTGCTGGTGGGAGTGCCTGCCTCAGAGAACCCCTTCAAGGACAAAAAGCCTTGTATCATCCTATAGCTCCATCCTCCTGGGCATACACAGCCTCTCTCCCTGGCAGGGCCATCCCCATTCAGTATCGATTTCGAGCCAAACCTGTCCGAAGTCACAAAAACTCTCGACAGTCAAAAACATCCCCAGCACCACTGCGGCCGCAGCCGCCACCACCACCACCACCACCACCGTGAGGAGGGGCGAACAGTATGCTTTGTGTTTGGGTGGAAAATCAGATCCAGCATACCCACAAGGCGGGGTCAGCATACCAATTTGAAGCAGTCTAAACGTCCCTGGGAGGAAGAGGATAGGGGCAGGGTTCTGATGTGTTTTTTTTTTAAAGATACTCTATTGCCATTTAAATAGTGGTTTCAAAATAAGGGTGGGTGGAGAGACAGGAGGGAGACCTAGGGTGTCTGCCAGTTATTAGGGGGCCCTCACATCAAGGTCAGAGTGGACCTAGGTTGTAATTCCTCCTAGAATGGTTTGCCCTTCAGAGACTCCGGTTAGACTGGCAGGAATTCAGATTTAAAGGAATTGCTCATTCTTTTAAAAAAGAAACCTACTCTTTCATTTAAAAAAGAAAAAAAATATGGAAATTATGTATTGCTAAAATGGGAGCAGGGGGGAGGATATTTCGACAACAGTATCATATAAAGGGATAATGAAAGCATGGACAGGGGGGAGGGGGGCAGAGGGGATAGGGAAGGGAAGTCATCCATGGACCACAGCATGCATTTCCCAGCTCAGACAACATAGGGCATCTGTATCTCCACCACCGCGTTGTGGGCAGCACACTCTAGCAGCCCAGCCATCAAGGGAAGCGGTGGACAGTGGCTTGAACTGGGGAGTGCCCGTCTCCTTGCATTGTCAGTTGGGGGGGGGTGGGGGGAGGGGCATTGGGAGGAAGCATGAGGTATTGATGTGGGTATTTGAAACCTCTGAGCCTATCCTAGCTCTTCAGTTTCTGAGCAGAGGGCTCCAGATGAATCCTTTGATCTTGTCTTCTGAGCATTGGGGGTGGGGGTAGGGTCAGGATTGCTTTTTGCTTCTGAGGGTAAGGGGTTTTGAAAGGCATTTGGTTGTTGTGGTTTTTAATTAACTGTGTGGCTCAATCCTTTTTTAAAACTCCTGCCCACTCATTAGATGATTCTTTGTCAAATTCACTAAAATAAGTACCCCAAAAGTGTCCTCCATTCCCTTTCCCCTGGATCAACATGTGTCTACCAACCCATTTAAGTGCCAGAAAAACGGAGCTTAAAGCACTTCAGTTGAATCCTAGAATTATTAAATACTATATGCCAGGCCTTGTGCCAGATACCAGGTAGAGTTTAAGGTATGTACCAAGATAAAAAGAAAAAAGTCCCTGGCCTCCTGAAGTTTAAAATCTTGTCGAGGAGAGAAGAGACGTGCGCAGATAGCTGCAACATAAACTGGAATAAAATAAGCCAAAGGAAAGGTCCCTACCAGGTGCTATAGGAGCTCAGAAGTTGGGAGGGAGGTGTATTTCCTTCTGAGGGGAATCAGGAAAGGCTTCATGGAGGAGGTTTCACTTGAGTCAGGCCTTAAAGAAAGGGGATCAGAGCAGCTAGGTGGCACAGTGGATAGAGCACTGGTCCTGAAGTCAGGAGGACCTGAGTTCAAATGTGGCCTCAGACACTTGACACTTACTAGCTGTGTGACCCTGGGCAAGTCACTTAACCCTATTGCCTAGCCAAAAAAAAAAAAAGAGAAAGGGGAGGCAGAGAGATGATGAAATATAATTATGGCCAGAATTCTGAGGTTCCCTGACCCTCATGGAAGATGAAAGGACCTAGGGAATTCTCTTTCCTCTTCACTAGGAATGAACCAACAGGCTAGGAATATCAGACGGGGCAACCCCTCTCCCCATATCTGCTGCTGTTGCTGACAGCCTATAACAAGGCAGAGAAAGTCCCTCCCTGCTGTATCGTAGGATTTAGAGTTGAGACTTCAAAGATCAACTCGTCTGAGTGTCTCATTTTACAGATGGTGAAACTGAGGCCCACAGAATCAAGTGACTACTTGCCACAAGGTCACCCACTGGCAGAGCTGGCATTCAAACCCTGCTTGAGGTTTATTGTCCAAAGCACTTCTCCAGGGAGTAGGCTGAGGGGTGGAGGAAGAGCAGAGCTCAGGGAAGCCTCTCCCTCCCCATTCACCAGCCAAATCCCTTTTGCCCCCAAGCAAAACAAAAGCCAGATTCCAGAGAGTGACCAATAGAATTCAAAGTCTGATACTAAGAGACCTTTGGGATCATCTAATTCTTGTTTCCCCAACTGATTGCCCTGTCCACAAAACTTTTGTTACTGTGGAATCTTGACCTTCTGTCTTAAAACCTGTAAGCAAAACCAGTGACTCATCCTCCCAAGCCCAGCATTCACCCTCTTTTCCCCACTCCCAGTCCCTTCTTTCCAAACCTTGATGCCAAGGCTACAGAATTTGAAGCAAGATAGATTTTAGGATTCGGTGCTGGAAGGGACCTCCAGATCATCTAATCCATTTCACAAAGGTTCAAATTGAGGCCCAGAGAGATTAAGGAATTTACCCAAGGTCACATATGGCTAGGAGGTGACAAAGCCAAGATTTCAACCCAGGTCTTCTGATTGCAGATACAGTGCTTTTTCCACTCACTACCTGTGAAATTAGATATTTTACCAGTCTACAGAAAAGCATGGGTTAGGGACCACTGATCTAGACCAGTTCCCTCATTTTACAGAGGAAATTCAGGGGGAGAAGGTCATCAGTGGCAAAACAAGACTTTAGAAACCAGCTCTTTCTACTCTGCTGAAGGCAAACAACCTTCCCACTGGGATAATTGGGCCGTTTCCCAGATGAATTTACCTAGAACTGTCTCATAGGAATCAGGTAGCAGAGAGCACCCATCTGTCTGGCAGCATGGTTTCCAAGGGACACCATTGAGCTGGGATTTGGGAGAGGATAGTACAATCCTAGTCCCCATTTACCAGCTAAAATAACCACTGAGTTGTAGGGCTTGCCATGATCCTCTTCCTACCCCTTATTGTTGAGAGAAAGAGATATGGCTGGTGTTGACCAGCTTTGCACTTTCTTAAAGAACCCTGGAAAAAACTATTCTCCCATGGCCCTCAGTTTGCAGTTTTCTGGCAGTTCTCTCAGCCAGACCGCCTAGCACCTTATCCTTGGCCATTTCTAACTTTAAGAAAGGGAAAATTCTGAGGATCCCTGCTGAATTCCATTTGAACTTCATCGTAGGATTTCAAGTTGGAAGGGACTCTAAAGTTCATTTTATAGATAAGAACCTAAGGCCAATGAAAAAAAGTGATTTGCCCAAGGTTACTCAGAGCCTGGATTCAGACCAGTGCTCTGATTTCACATCCAGTGTTTTTTCCCCACACCACCTTTAAGGTTGTCTGGGCCTTCCCAAGGACCACTTTTAAGGATATCCAAAAGACTTATTGGTAACAAATACTGCATGCTCTTTTAACTGCCAGTCAAGTGGACTAACTCACAGGGTGATTTACCTAACCCCCCCCTCCTAGCTCAGGAACTTCCCTGATCTGATCCTTCAAGCCATGCATCTGGACTTAGGGGCCCCCTCAAAGCCTAGCCCTGAAGGTGTGCCAGAACACAGGCCCAGGATAAGAGAAAGATGACTAGAAATAAATGAAAAGTCAAATCCTTCAGGACATAGAGTTGAGAGGGAGGACTTTGGTCAGAAAGCTAGCTTTTAAAGACCCCCATCTGCCCATTTGTTCCAAAAACAGAGGTGGCTTAGTAAGTCTATTTTCCCTCCTTCCATCTTGGTAGCACTGTTAAACTTTAGAAATAGAAAATGAGGTTTCCCCTCCTCTATCTAACCTTGAGAAGACAAAATATAAGTGCTGAGTATACTTCTCAGAGTCATAAAATGTTGAACCTGGAAGGAACTTTAAAGATCATCAAATCCGAATCCCTCATTTTGCTGAAAGGGAAGTTGAGGCCCAAAGAGGAGACATAATTTGTCCAAGATCACACAAGCAGTAAGTAGCAAATCCAAGACTAGAACCTAGATGGTCTGATTCCCTGGTACCTCATGCAAGGCATTCAGCTTATGGACCCGGGCGGGCATTCACACAGAGGTTTCTGGGCCACAGTGAGACCTTCTCTCTGGATCCTGTTGATCTCTCAGGATTGCATTAGGCCTTGCTTCCTTTCCTCCAGAAAATACATTTTGTTTTGCCAGCTCTTGGGGCACTGCCCTGTTTTTTCTCCTGCCCAGAAGTGGGCAGCTGTGCCAGACCTTAAAGGGAATCCCTTCCTAGCAGAGCCCTGGCTAATAGCTGACCCCAGTCCAAGTCCCAGTGACATCATCCTGATTATCTGGGAGGGGAGACCTGTTCAGTTAATTTACAATGAGGGGGTTGGACTAGATAATCTCACTAAGGGCCCTTCCAGCTCTTAGTCATAGAGTCCTACAGTCCTACGCGCCAAGGAAATTTGGTAGGAAAAAATTAGATCCAGAAGTTGATGTGAGCCAGGTTCTAGCCTCAAGAAGTTGCTATAGCTTGTGGACACCACTCGGTATAGCTCTCCCTTCCCTTGGGCTCCCACACATCCAACCTGCCCCTACTTGTGGTCTGCCCTTCTTCCTTCAGCATCCCTAGATAGAGGGAAATTGTTAGAACCCAAACCAGGTCAGGATTTAGAGAAGGATGCAGCCCAACAGCCTCCCAGGGAACTTCCAGCCAGTGAAAGCCATCCATCCCATCTAAAAATAAAGGACTTAACTGCTCCAAGATGAGGTTTTTTTTACTTCTACTAGAGAAGAAATTGGTCTCATGGTGACACCAGACAGAATACAGGGCTAGCTTAGGTAACCATGGAGAAATGGTTTCTATTCTCCAAATAGCCAAGTCCCATATTTAGATGCCAGTAGAACTACAACCAACCTTTGTTAAGCACCTGTTGTATACAGAATGCTATGCTCTAGACTGGAAGGCAGAGTTTAGATGAGGTGTTTGTCTACCTTTGTGAGTTTGTCTGGAGGAGTAATCAGGGCCAGGAAGGCAAAGCAGTTTTCATCCCTGACAGACCTCCTGCCCCACAGGCCTAGGTTCACATCCTCCTTCCTTCTCCACTGATTCTTCCACCCCTGGCTTCTTGAATGCAGCCCTGTGAGTCTGCAGCCTTTAACCATGTCTCCTAGAGGCCTAGAATTCTCACTGGAGATTGCTTGTCCAGGTCTTACATGATACAGATGACAAAACTAAGGTTCAGAAAGGGGTCACAAAATGAGTGGTAGAACTGAGACTCACTCCCAGGTCTCCAGCCTCCCAGCCCATGAATGTTGCCACTTCAT